CCCCAAGGACCAGGACAAAGAGAAAAATTAGTTTCTGGAGGATTTATCATCTTTGGCTGCTGGGCAGAGGCCAAGGGAAGCAAGGGCTGTGTAGGGAGAAGGCAGGGAGATAGATTATCTAATGGGAAAGAGGGCTCACAGTGGGAGGTCTTTGAAAATGACAATACTCTTCTCCTCTGGTCTATGTTGCTCATCTTTGATATCAAATCAACCTGCTTCCTGCCTCCTAGAGGGTCTTGTATAAATCCTCCTTTCTTTTGAGTGAAGAAATGTGAGCTACCAGGTACAGATGCACGAGAGAAAGCTGAATAAAGAAAACTCCTGGGATGTAAGTAACTGCCCTGGAGATGAGATGTTTGGCTGACAGAGTCTTAAGAACAGGGTCACCAAGAAAGGAGGATATAAACTTCCACCTCACAATAATAAGCCAGTCAGGTCTGATGGGTATCGCTGATGACAACACCTTCTTCTGGAAATGATGGGAAGAAGGGGGGAGCTGGGAAAGGGAAATATGCAACACCTTTTGGTTCATTCTTTGTTACAAAGCAGAAAGAAAAAGAGCAAATCCAGCCTTGGGATGGTGGAGAGACAATTTTCAGGAACTGAAGAAGGTTATGAGATAAGAATCCACGCAGTATGGCTGATTGGGGGTATGTTTGGCTGAAGAGGGGGAGGTACTCAGGAGCATAAGGGTATCATAATAATAATAAGAAGAAAGGTTCTATTCAAGTAACATATGCATTAGTGCCTTTACCTCTGAGATAATTATGCTCCAGTATTTTAAATGGGGGAGCCCTGGTAGCGTAGTGCCTAAGGCAACTGACTGCTAACCAGAGGGCTGGCGGTTCAAACTCACCAGCCACTCCTTGGAAGGAAGGTTGGGCAATCTACTTCCGTAGTGATACTGCCTAGAAACACAAGGAGGGACGGCTATGAGTTGGGTCCGACTCCATGGCACGTAACAACAACGACAATTTTAAATGGGTACAAAAAATCCTCACAAATCCTATGACTTAGTTATTAAAGTTATTTGTCTAAGCTTTTCATCAGTAATTGACCTTCCAGGTGTCTACATAAATGTCTCTGCAGGGGTGAAGGCAGAGGCAAGCGCTGGGCTGGAAATGGGTCTTAGGAGAGCTTGGCCAGAGCATTCTGAAGAACAGCATACCTCAACAACCAACAAGCGAAGTGCCTGAATCTTGATTTGGGTAGTAACTACAACTATATGTATTAACTTTATAAAAACTTACCAAACCAAACAGCCAAGATGTGTGCACTTTATCATACGTTTGCTACACTTCAATAAACATTTTTTTTATTTATTTACTAAAAACTGAGGGAAAGGGCAGTAATGTTGTATGTTATAGAGAGGCCAAGTAAAACAAATAATGAAAAGAAGTTTTTGAACTGGCAACAGGTCATCAATGGAGATCACTGTTACTAATCTTAGCAAGAAAAATTTCAATAGCATTAGGTTGAACATCGAATAAAGGAAAAGTAGCCAGGAGAGGAAGATTCTGTATCAGAGGTGAGTCGGGAGGAGGTGTTCTGGTTCCTCAGGCTCTCCTGCTCTTTTAAGCATTGATGTTTACCCTTGGGTTTGAAAAATCCAGAAGACATACAGCAGTCTTAAAAATACTCCCCATCACTCTTATTCAAAAATATTTTCCCTAGTCTCCTTCTGATCTGTCATGGAAGATGTCTCACCCACTGATATTACATAGCAAGGTTCTTCTCATTCGACCATGAGATGAAGCTTACTATATTCTTCAGTAATTTCCATTATAAGGCTTTTCCTGTAATTAGGGTTTTTTGTTTTTGTTGTTGTTTAAATAAAAATCACAGTTTGCAACAATGTCCCAAGAATTGGCTTTTTAGAAAACTGAGGACTCCCACCAAAGCTGCCATTGGTACCTAGGTGTGGCATCAACTTGTTACTATTGTTACCTGCCGTCAAGTTGGACCCAACTCATAGCGACCCCTCCTTAGGTTTCTGAGGCAGTATCACTATGAAAGTAGATTGATTGCCCAACCTTCCTTCTGAGGAGTGGCTGGTGGGTTTGAACTGCTAGCCTTCTGGTTAGCAGTCAAGTGCCTTAGGAAGGAAACAGAAGGGACAAATATGTGGCATAGTTACGACTGAGAACCACTGTCTAGTGCTTGGCTAGCAAAGAAAACATCCACAGTAGCAGATAGGATCCTGAGACCAAAATTCCATCAATCCGATTTACCTAACTATTCAGAAAGGGATCAGGTCCCTGATGAGAAATTTAAAAAGGGTAAGTAAAGACAGGGTCCAAAGGTAAAGAAAGTGAACTTCTCAAATTGGAAACTCCTTATTCAGTGGTACAGAAAATGATAGCTAAGGGCAGGCTAGTCATGAGACTTGGCAAGTTAGCACTTGGGAAACTGTCCTTAGGCTATATGTGACTCCTGTAAAGTAAATACAAGTCACATAATTTGTGTGGTAATCTTCCAGGCTGAAGAGGTCCTGAGAGATGCAACATTAGGACAGTGAGGCTTTGAGGAAAGAGATGGTCAATTGTACTTAACCATGGTGTGGTCCACCCCTAGACCTTGATTCCAGGTTCTATGGCCAGTGCCCTTCCCTAGGAACTGAAATGATCTGATAGTCATAGAAAAAACACTTGAAGCAGAATTAATGGGTAGTCAGAGAGAGTTTGTCTTTCACCTTTCAACTGTCAGCCCCTAATACTTAATCACTGTTGAATGAAATAAATAACCTGGGTGTGTATAGCCACTGGCTCAGGCATCTTCAGCAATAGCTCATGGGAGGATAAGTAAAAAGCCTCATGCAAGCAGAGGTGAACTGCTTTTTAATACCTGGCCTCCAAGTCACAATGACTCATGAACATGCTACTTGGAACAATCTAAATTTACAGGATTAAGTAGGGAAAATAGTCTAAGTTTTTGTTGGCTATATTTTATTGAGCACCTATGGACCTAGTATTCTGCTAAGCACTTCCACACAGCTTCTCATTTTAATCTAAAAACATTCCTATGGAGTTGGGAATATTATTCCCATAATTATCAATAAGTAAATCAAGGTTTAAAACAAAACAAAAACCAAACTCACTGATTTGACTTATAGTGACCCCACCTTGGGTTTCCAAGGTGGTAGCTCTACAGAAGTAGATTGCCTAATCTTCCTTCTGAGGAGTGGCTGGTGGGTTTGAACCACGAGCCTTCTGGTTAGCAGTCAAATGCCTCAGGCACTATGCCACCAGAGCACCCAAATCAAGGTTTAGAGAATTTAAATAACTTGACCAAGGAAAAACAGCTAGCAAGGGACAGAGTAATAGGGTTTTCAGTCTAGAGTGTACATCTAGTACCAATGCTCTTAGCCACTTTGCTATCCTGCCTCTTGATGATACAGGACCAACAAAAAATTTTGAGTGGGGTACACAGAAGTATGTAGGATTCCTATGCTGTATTCTAAGGAAAGAGAAACTAGGTGGTCCTTAAAGAAGTTTACCCAGTGTTCCAAAGACTGAATGAAATCACTAGAAGAAGGGCCCCACAAGAAGTGTTCTCAGATGGGTGTGGAAATAAGCACATACCCAAACATCATATATAATGATGGAACCATCCATCCCAAGAGGAAAGTAACTGAATTAGGGATATCACATATGAGTAGAATGGTGGTTTAATGCTGACCCACTGCATCATTACAGATGGTGGGCAAATGCAGCAATAAACAGAACTCAACAAGTGTTGCAGTCCAGATCCCGGCTGTGTATAATGGTAGCTCTATTTCATCCATACTGGCTGAATGAGGCCCCTGACTTTTATCCCCTTCAGCAACCACAGTTGTTGCCTTGACTATTAATCTTGGCATGGATGGCCACAACTCGGAATAGCAGATGTTAACAGAAACTGGAAAGACTTGGATTTAATTCTCAAATTTAGCACATACTTGTTATGTGATTTTAGACAAATACTTAACCTAATTTTAATTATACCAACTGCTTTGCATGGAAGGGATGTTTGTCTTATTTTATAAGTAAGAAAGATACTTACATGATAATACTTTTCAGCATTCATACTACATTCATTAAAAAGTACTCTATATTCTAAAGGATAAAGCTTCCTTGTTGTGTAGAATGTCTTGGTTTATTATGAAAAGGGAGTTAGATATATTGAATGGTTTATCTATAAGGCAACCCCAATGTTTTATTTGTAGTTATTTATCTACTACTTAAACCTACAGCAATAGGAAATCCAGGCTGGAATGTCAAGAGAAAGAGATTATACATATCTCCTGATAGAGTTTATCTTCTATGGAAAGTGATGTCTTCTAAAAACCTTATTTTCCTGACTCCACTAATGTATTTCAACCAGAATGATGATTCATTTATGTTTGTCTAGGCACCACATTGAGAATACAAATGTGACATATCTGACCTCAAGAAGGTCACTGTTTCATTCACAATTATTAAGTAGTAGGAGCTGAGAACAAAAAGATAAAAGACGAACTCTCTCCTCTGACTGCCCATTCTGTGGAAACTGTTTAAAATGATGAATACAGACATCTTCTTTAATGGACTTTTGCACTCTACTCTGAATCATACACTTGATATAAGAGACACACATAAGTGTATACAATAAACTCATAGAGAGAGCAGGGAAAAGAAGCATTCATCACACTGTACTAAAATTGTTGATATACATCCCTCAGAGTTCAGTATGGGAGGTGCCATGGAAGCTCAGAGATAAGTATCTAACAGCCTGGGCATGAGATGGGGGATAAGATGGAGCAGAGGCTTTCCATGAGATGATCCTTGAAAGGTTAATAGAATTTATAAGGCAAAGATGGAAGAACATGAAAGGTGGAACTGAGTAACTTTTCTGATATCAGTTTTCTGATCTTATGGTCCACTTAGCTGAGACATCACAGGATTCCAAATACCATAGTTGAGAAAAAGATTGCATTTATTTTTTTAAAATCATCATTTTATGCATTAACAGGGTATTCACTTATGATGCTCAGGCTACACTACAACCACACAATGGAATCGCCTGCCAACTTCTTTCTTATGGGCATCCCTGGGTTGCAGTCTTCACATCTTTGGTTGGCTATCTTACTGAGTGCCATGTACACCATAGCCCTGCTGGGAAACATCCTCATCATGATGGTAATCTGGAGGGACTCCACTCTACAGGAGCCTATGTACTGGTTCCTATGTGTTCTAGCTGCTATGGACATTGTTATGGCCTCCTCTGTAGTACCCAAGATGGTGAGCATCTTCTGCTCAGGAGACAGCTCCATCAGCTTTGATGCTTGTTTCACTCAGATGTATTTTGTCCATGCAGCCACAGCTGTGGAGACAGGGCTGCTGCTGGCCATGGCTTTTGACCGCTATATAGCCATCTGCAAGCCTCTACACTACAAGAGTATCCTCACACCTCAAGTAATGCTGGGAGTGACTATGGTCATCACTATCAGAGCCATCACATTTATGACTCCATTGAGTTGGATGGTGAGTCATTTACCTTTCTGTGGCTCCAATGTAATCTATCATTCCTACTGCGAACACATAGCTGTGGCCAAGTTGGCATGTGCTGACCCCATGCCCAGCAGTCTCTTTAGTCTGATTGGTTCTTCTATTATTGTGGGCTCTGATGTAGTCTTCATTGCTACCTCCTATAACCTGATTCTCCGGGCTGTATTTGGTCTCTCCTCGAAGAATGCTCAGTTGAAAGCATTAAGCACATGTGGTTCCCACATGGCAGTTATGGCTCTGTATTACCTACCTGGTATGGCATCCATTTATGTCGCTTGGCTAGGTAAAGATACAGTGCCCTTGCACACACAAGTGCTGCTAGCTGACCTGTATCTGGTCATCCCACCCACCTTAAACCCCATCATCTATGGTCTGAGGACCAAACAAATACGGGAGCGAATATGTGGTTTATTGACACGCTGCCTCTTTGACCACTCCATCTTGGGCTCATGAACCCAAGAAATGTTCACATTTTGAGCATTCCAGTCAGCTTCAATGATATCTTAGGGATCTGTGGAACTGATCTGGTTCACCTGGAGCTACAGGAATTCTAAGATGGATCTCTTACGGGTAACCCTGCATAACTTTTCAATTTTTAGCAAGAGTGTAAATGAAATTATTCTGAATTTCTAATACCATTTTTAATAGTTTTAACAACTAGTATTTAAATAAAAGAGATCTGAGCAGAGAATACAGATTTGAGGTTTTTCTTCCTGAGCCTCTGACCCATATTTCCAACCTAATATTCTACTAGTACTTTTGCAAGAGAAAACAATTGTTTGATTGAGGAATCTGCTGCTTTCCTAAAAATTGCTCTTTTTCTTACCAGATTATATGGGAGAAGCTGTTAATATATGACTTTGCACTCTGCCCCACTAAATCCACTTGGTTTGGGTCATGTGCTCACCCCCAAACCAGAGTCCTTTATGGACTCCAGCTTATCTGAGATATAAACTTGGGATCACTGATGAGGGCTACTTCCCAGTGCATGGACTTAGAAAAAGACACCTGGTCCACAGCAAGAGAAGCTCATTAGTAAAATGGGATGAAGAGATTTTGAGTTCTACCTTTGATCCCAGTTCCTTCTAGACACCCAGGTACATCCCATTATTGTTTTGTAAGATACCTCTATATCCTTTAATTTACCCTGTATTATTAGGCTACTGGAGTTAGCTTCTTGTTTTTAAGCAACCGAGCTAAATCGATATGAGTTTAGTTTTGGGTGTCTTTCTCTTGGTTCCCATTCCTGCTCTATGAAACTCAACCTTAAGACATAAAAGAGAGGAATTGAGTATCATGCAGGTCTTTCTTGTGGACACATCTATGATGGAGTTTTCTGGGATTAAAAGGTTAATACAGACCAACATAAATAATAAAGTTGAAATGGTTTTACTTTTCTCCTAGTTACCAGATATTTATTTTCTATTCTTATTTCCCTCTTTCAGAAAATCTTAAATTGAATGATATGTATACATTGAAAAAACAAAAAACAAAACAAAATGAAACAAAAAACTGCATATATCAGAGAGAAATATATTCAACTCTGGTGCATTTTAAAATCCTAATAAAAATATAATTTTCAAATCCTAATAAAAATAATTTTCAAACAGTATTCAAACTGCAAGGAAGAACTGCACTGATTTAGTTTTATCATTTCCTTTCTACTGATGAAAGAAACAATATTAATTCATAGAAAGTACTGAAGATTAAATGAAGTAATGAATGGAAAGCACTTGATGCACTATCTCACACACTGTATGTATTGAAAAAAATACTCAACTAATGATAAATTTATGATTTCATAATGTTAAAGAGGTACTTCCAGGTATGACTGAAATTGCAGTCTTGTATAAATCAGTACTTGTGTTATAACATTTCCAAATAAATCTGTTTTACAACTTGACATTCATACCTTTTGCTAATATTGGACTTGTTTACACACCAAGTATATTACATCTATTCTTGAATACCAGCACAGCAAGAATCAGCCTCTAAAAACCTTATACTGATGCACTGAGGTCCCACGTGGCAGTGAAAAGAAACCCCACTCCCTTGCAATGCCCTAACATTAAAAAAAAAAAAATGAGATCATGAGGTGGTTAAGTAGATTTGATAAGATTCTCACTTTGAACAGTCACATTTTCTTTTTCCATAATTCTGAAAATTGACCATGTCCATTAAATCAAAGAATATTAGATGCATAAGAATCTGATGCACAGAAACAAAGGTATTGTCCAGTCAGTCAATTATTATAATGAAATGTGCAAAGACCTGGAGTTGGAAAACCAGAAGGGAAGAAGACGCTCACCATTTCTCAAGACGAAAGAACTGAGGAAAAAATTTAAGCCTTGAATTGCACTACTGAAAGATTCCATAGCCAGTATGTTGAATGATGGAGGAAACATCAAAAGAAGATTGATGGAATACACAGAGTCACTATACCAAAAAGAACTGGTAGATGATCATTCATTTCAGGAGGTGCCATATGATCAAGAATCAATGGTACCGAAGGAAGAAGTTGAAGCTGCACTGAAGGAACTGGTGAAAAACAAGGCTCCAGGAATTAATGGAATACCCACTGAGATGTTCCAACAAAGGGATGCTACACTGGAGGCACTCACTTGTCTATGCCAAGAGATTTGGAAGACAGCTACCTGGCCAACTGACTGGAAGAGATCCATATTTGTACCCATTCCAAAGAAAGGTGATTCTACAGAATGTGGAAATGATCAAACAATATCATTGATACCACATGCAAGTAAAAATATTACTGAAGATAATTCAAGAACAGTACAGCAGTATGCTGACAGAGAACTTCCAGAAATGCAAGCTGGATTCAGAAGGGATGTGGAGCAAGAGATAGCATAGCTAATGTCAGATGGATTTTGGCTCATAGCAAAGAATAACAAAAAGATGTTTAGTTGTGTTTTATTGACTATGCAAAAACATTAAATTGTGTGGATCATAACAAATTGTGGATAACACTGAGAAGAATGGGCATTTCAGAACACTTAATTTTATTCATGAGGAATCTGTACATAGACCAGGAGGTTGTTGTTTGAACAGAACAAGGGGCTATTGCATGGTTTAAAATCAGGAAGGGAGTGTGTCAGAGTTGTATTCTTTCACCATACTTATTCAATCTATATGGTGAGCAAATAATCTGAGAAGCTGGACTATATGAAGAAGAGCATGGTATCAGTGTTTGGGGAAGGCTCATTAACAACCTGAGATATGCAGATGACACAACTTTGCTTGCTGTAAGTTAGGATGACTTGGAGCACTTACTGATGAAGATTAAAGACTATAGTCTGCAGTATGGATTACACCTCAATATAAAGAAAACAAAAATCCTCACAATTGGACCAATAAGCAGCATCACGACAGATGGAGAAAAGACTGAAGTTGTCAAAGACTTCATATTGCTTGGTTCTACAATCAATGCCAATGAAAGCGGTAGTCAAGATATCAGACAATGTATTGCATTGGGCAAATCTGTTGCAAAAGACTGAAAAAAGTGCTGAAGAGCAAAGATGTCTCCTTGAGGACTAAGATGCATCTGACACAAGCCACGCTTTTTTCAATCACCTCATATGCAAGTGACAGCTGGGCAATGAATAAGGAAGACTGAAGAAGAGTTGATGCTTTTGAGTTGTGGTGTTGGTGAAGAATGCTGAAAGTACTGTGGAGTGCTAAAAGAACCAACAAATCTGTCCTGAAAGAAGTACAGTCGGAATGCTCCTTGGAAATGAGAATGGCCAGACTTTGTTTCACCTACTTTGGTCATGTTGTCAGAAGGGACCATTCTCTGGAGAAAGATGTCATCCTTGGTAAAGTGGAGGGTCAACGAAAGAGGGGAAGACCCTCAACAAGATGGATTGACACAGTAGCTGCAGTGATGGACTCAGGCATAGTAGGGATTGTGAGGCTGGCACACGATCGGGCAGTATTTTGTTCTGCTGTACATAGAGTCGCTATGAGTTGGAGATGACTCAATGGCAGCTAACAACAAACAACAAAACCCTGAACAGACATTTCTTCCCAGCATTTCCAGGAGGGGGCCTGCTCTGCTAGCTTTGTTTCACTCACACTGGTATTCTCTGAATCTAGCTGGTACCCATTTGGGACTCAAATATTTATTAAATTATAAGGCATCTGACTGCTAACCAGAAGGCTGGCAGTTCAAACCCACCAGCCACTCCTCAGAAGGAATATTGGGCAATCTACTTCTGTAGTGATACCACCTTGGAAACCCAAGGAAGGTTCGCTATGAGTGGGATCTGACTCGATGGCAGTGAGTTTCTTTCTTTCTTTTTTTTTTTTTAGTGCTTCCCAAAGTGGCCTGGCTTCCTGCAATGGCCGTGCAAAGCAAAAAATGCTGTGTTTCTCATAATGCATTCAGATATGGCCCCTGTCCTCTCACATAGCATTGCATGCTTATTTAACTAGTGTCTGGCACCCACAGTAGACTTTCAAAGTTTGAATT